GAGTGGGTTTTTTATTTTGTTTTTATAAAATAAATACATAAACTTTTAACCGTGTAATCTTTGTAGAAATAAAAATGATTAATGAAAAAATTAAATTGCTTAATTAACGTGACAGTGCATAAGTACGTATTTGTCTTACAGAAAGGAATATTAAAAAAGAAGCAAAACATAGAAACATAAAAGAAAAAGGAAAAGAAAAATCCAACTACCTTTAATCTTTTCAGTGAAGTTTATGGTTGTAGTTAGTTCGGATACTTGTAAACTTTCGACAAGCATTATATTGTAGAGATATTAGGTACTTGTTGAAAACAGGAGAGATGAAAAATGAGCAACGCGCTCACCGGGACTCTAACCACGGACCTCTTGAATACGCACCGAGCGTGCTGATCATTACACCACGAAGGGATGCTAAGAAGGCGGAGGCAATACCTTATACACTGGCGACTGGAATTAGGGGAACCAGTTGCCAAATCTTAGTGGCCGAGAATTACCATCCACCACCTTTCTTAGTTCGGGAGCTACCGTAGAGACATTAGGTATTTTTTGAAAGCAGAAGAGATGAAAAAGGAGCAGTGACCTTGCCAGGACTCAAGCCACAGACCTCTCGAATGCGCGCTGAGCACGCTGACCAATACACTACGAAGGCATGCTAAGAAATAATACATCAATAAAATAATAATAATAAAAATTCTGAAGTAATTTTACATTTTAGTTGGTTAAATTGAATGATATTATTTAATTTAAAAAAAATTTAGTTATATATTTAACCTTTGAAGCAAATTTAAAGAAACCATCCCACTGGTCCAACGGTTTTAAGAACCAGCGTTCTACAACAGCTTCAACAGCAGAAGAAAATATCTGTTTGACTGAAATTAGGAAAGTATTCTAAGCCTCAGATAAAAAAAAGGAATGAATCAAGCTGTACACTTACCGTAAAATATTTTAAAAATTTTCATTACAAAAAAAATGTTGCTGCCGAATAAATCACTCGATGATGACTTAGATAAATCGAAAAACTGCAGTCCTTTTATAAGGTCAAAACTGATTTTGCCTGGATTAGACGCTTCTCTAACCTTCTAGTCTGCCAAATGAATTTTTGTCACGGCTTTAAGTAACAGTATCTAGAAAAGAATACTAATTGAATGCAACATAAATAATAACATCTAAGCATTTGGCGTTGAGTTGAAGTGCAGAGCTGAAATGACACAAACAGAATTCCTGTTTTCACGGGAATAACAGAAAACACGGAATTCAGTTATTTATAATTTCTTCGTGAATTGCATACATTTACACATTGAATTATTCTTAATAATAACCAAAATCTTTCAAGAAGCTCAGTCTAATTTCAACACTCGAACCTCTCTCCAGTAATAGGGCACTTGCTCATTAAGAATTGGTCGGGAATAGCTAAACTCACCAGTCATTTAATATTCTTATCACCAAGAATGTTGTTCATGGAATGAAGCAATATTCCACCCTCGAGAAGGAGGGAGGAAAGACATCTGCAAAAAATCCATGCATTATTTGGAATTCGAGCCTACAGCTAACCACTATATCGGCTAACAAAGAAGCCACTAAAATGGCGGTTCAGCACTCAAACTCGCTGGAGTCTTCCTTATATCTCTTTTGAAATATAATACATAATTCAAGTTTTAATGGTTTCATTTTGTTCAATGAGTGCTCTAAAGGAATGATTAGACTAAATTATTCGGATTTCGGCAAAGCACGCGAGGTCTTTAACATGATACCAGAATCTTAATCTGCTTAATAGAAAGAATGGCTTCGTGAAGGGTTTCTAAAGGGAAATCGGCTCGTATTGACGTTACACATAGATAAAACCCCGAAAACTTCTATTCAACGAGCCCGTTCAACGGGATTTGAACTCAAATAAAATTATCAGAAGTCCTATTGCTCGGTCGCTAGTGGATCTTGCAAAGGAAAGAAAAATATTTAGAATAAGATCCGGCATGATCCTGTTAGTTCACGGTATTTAAAAGGAACCACTCGTCAGTTCCTCTGTCTCATTGATGAATCATGTTAAAGGTGTCCCAATTTGTTAAAATTTTACTCTGCTTAGTTAAGAAAAAAGATTAATCTACTTTTCAGGGGACTAAAAATGTAAAAAACAGTATACTGAGAGATAAGGCTGTAGGTCTCACAGACATTCTATTTCTGCTTCCCGACTTTGGCTAAGTTAACTGTCGTATAATAGATCAATCTTTTTGCGACGGCTTGCAAGATAGTTTACCTTCTATTCATTTCAAAACTGAAAGATTAGAACAAGATAAAATATCCACAAATTTAAGTTTTTCCACCAGCAAATAAAGAATAACTTTTAGAGATATTAGGTATTTTTTGGAAGCAGCAAGATGAAAAATGAGCAGTGCCCTCGCCGGGAATCGAACCACAGACCTCTGGAATACGCGCCCAGCGTGCAGACCACCACACTACGAAGGCATGCCAAAAAGGCGGGAGAAATAGCTTATAAACTATATGTGGGTCTGTTCTGAACAGATTTCGGAGCATTCATACCATCAGTATATGCATCACACGTTCGACGTCTAATTCTAAGAGCAACGAACACTAATTATCACACGATTCTAACACGTTCTTCACTTTTCTTAGCCTCAAGACAGTAGTCCTTGTAATATTAGCTGTTGAACGGAAACATTTTTCTCTCCCAATCTAATTGAAAAACGTTATATAGAAATAACGTACCTTACTTGGCATGTAAAATTCATTCGTAACCACGCTTGATATTTTGCTGTATAGTGACGTATTATTTGCAGGAGTACGTCCCTTTTCTGACATATTAGGGACGAAAACCTTGAAGAAAACTGCAAAACTAGGAATTACAAATCCAGTCTGTTTTATTTCGCAAGTACATTTATGTACACAGAAAAACGTATGTAAAGTCCTTGTCCCCCCCTTTTTTTTTTCTTTAGAGCCCTAAATTGAAAAATGAACAACGGTGGGTATCGAGCTGGAGGCTTTTCATCTGCTGGCTGAACGTGCTGAGTATTACATCACAAGAATTCATGGGATGACTGTCCGTAATTCCTTATACCCTCTCCAATTAAAGTGTGTTCCAGTCAACCAAGACTGTGTGATGAATTATCATCCACCATATATTAATTCGGACGCCATTGCACAGTTATTGGACTTTCTGAGCAGGAAATTGAAAAATCAACGGTGCACTTATGGGATTGGAACCGGTACTTTCCATTTTCAGACTAGATGTACCGACAACTACACCATAAGGATCACAGGAAAAATGCCTTTAATTTCTCATGAACAACATTTGTAGAAACATTAGGTTATTTCGAAGCAGAAGATGTAAAAAATGAGCAATGCCCTCGCCGGGACTCGAACCACGGACCTCTCGAATACGCGTCGATATGCAGACCGCTACATCCCGAACGCATGCTGAGAAGGCGGGAGAAATACTTTATATACTCTCCTTTTAAAGGGCGACTGGGGATTAGGGGACCCAATCGCCAAATCCTGGTGGTGGAGAATCACCATCCGCCATCATTTTAGTTCGGACGCCACTGTAGAAACAATTGGTCATTCCGAAGCAGGAGAGATGAAAAATGAGCAATGCCCTCACCGGGACTCGAACCATGGACCTCTCGAATACGCGTCGAGCGAGCTGACCACTACACCCCGAAGGCATACTAAGAAGGTGGGAGAAATACTTTATAATTTTATTTATCACTTACGATTGCATACGAAAGCTAAATAGTACACAGTGGTTCTCAAAAGTGCTGGGACACTTTCTATTGTGCAGTGAAAGTAGTAATTTACGTAGGTTAAATTTAAATTCTTTAATTGTAGTTTTTAATTAATGTCTTTATTCTGCTTCTTACAAAATTATATATGAAATTTATCCAAACACGTTTTTAATTTAATGAAAATATAAATTATTCAGCTATAAAAAATTCCTTAGAAATCTCGGAACACCGTTTTTTACCCTAGAGAAAATTAAGTCTTAACAGAAGCATTTTTTATACATTTATGCTTTGAAATTATAATAACCGCTTAAATATCATTTGATTTTATGTTCGAAAATTTGTTATGCAAATAAATTTCATTTTAATGCGTTCTGTGACATAACTGTGCAGATTTTCTTTTCCTTTGCTGATTGATTTTTACTTTTTAATTCTTAAATTATTATTTGAAAAATTTCATATATAACTTAATAAGGATTAGAATAAAAGTATAATTTAAAAAATGCAATTAAAAAAATTCTTTAACTTGTGTATACTACTATTTTTACTGCAGACTCGAAAATGCCCCAGCACTTTAACAAACCACTATACCGTTCAGTAAAATGAACAAAATTTCATGTTTAAATATTTAAAAGGACATACGTCGAAACAGCGTGTTATTTACCGTATAAGATACGCTGTGGTTTTAAACGAAAGAGTCAAAAATCGGGACATACGCGTGTAGCCAATAAAATATAGGCTGCGTGAAAAAAGTATAAATGGCTATACAATAGCATATTGCTGAAAAATTTTGTTGTAAACACTTAAGTTATATAAACGGTGACTCCATTTTAAAATTCAATAAGTACTTTTTTTTTTTTTTTTTTCTGTTTTGCAACACTAAAATTGAAATAATACTAACTAAAAATCAACATTTTATTGCGAAAATGAAAGGGCTTATTTCGGATTCATCTCATACATTCCTTACCTATCGCCTTTTGAGTGAAATCAGCGAGATCACATTTCAGAGCTTGGAAAGAAAACAGTTACCATCAAACGGTTTTCTCGAAAAAAATAAATGAATCGGAATCTGTTTTGTTTATTCCCGGAACAAAACGCGGTGAAAAAAATCAAAGGAGGGAGAACCGAAGGATTATATCCGCTCGTCTTTCAAAAATAAGTTGCGAAACATCTCTATGGCTTAATCGAGGGTGGCGCTCAAGTCGCTCCTCATCTTCCAATCGCTGCCTTAAAACCGAGAGGAATTAATCAGGTAGAGGATTACGGAGTTGTAAGCTACACCGTTTGCTTCTTTGGACAGTTGAAACTAAAGCTAGAATGGCTGTTTCGATGGCAGTATGGCTTTTAATTTTAGTCGCTGTAGGCGCGAGCGCTGACATGCCTCTTGAAGAAGTATTTCTTCTTAAGCATGTTAAAATGATCGAAAGCCCATTAGCTGTTACGGTAGATAAAGTGGTTAAAATATTCAATGACCGCAGGCATTGCAATAGGCAAGAACACACAGAAATCTGCAAAAAAGTAAGTAACCTTTTTTTATTTAAATAATTCATTTCTCCTTTTCATTTGTGATGCGTTTTAATTAACATATAAAATTTAAATCACGTATTAATTTAAAAAATTTTAAGTGTAGTTTTTTAATGTTGTACAGTAAAAGTACAGTTTTTTATTACTGTAAGACTTTTTCAAATGTTGATTTCATTTCCTATAAAAATTTATTGTTGCAATATATATATTGTAATGTTATTCCTTAATAACATTCCATTATTGCATAACATTTGTCTATTAGTTTTAACTTTTGCTGAAGGAATTTTATTTACATTTCATTCTGAAAGTGAATTCTTTTTTGTATGCATGATAAGTATCTCCACAAATATCCGAAATGAATGGGTCCCGTCCGGAGGTATTAGTAAAATTCAGATAATCATGCTGCTAAATTAAAAATTTAATTGCCTGACGCATAATCAAATTTACATCACTCTTTAAATTTTTGAAATAAAGTTCTTTATTACTACAAGATTTATTAATACGGGTATTAATTACTGTGTTTTCGAAATGTTCCTTTTATTCTGTGTTAAGAGTGAGTAGTATTCTGCTGAAGTACTCTACTTTCATGATAAGTAGCGCTGCGAATATCCGAAATAAATGAGTCGAATCCGGATATTAGAAAAACCCGCATAATTCGATTCTAATTTTTTTTAGTGGCCAAATATGTATTCTTTTGCATGATGCATAGCAATATTTCTATCATATATTAAATTTTAATTTTAAAAGTAGTTTTTTATTATTGTAAAATGTTATTTTTTAATTATTCATTTAATTTCCAGTTATAAGAATATGAATCCTTAATATTAAGTTAGATATTGCATATATATGTCTGTTGGTTATATCTTCTACTAAGAGAAGTGAAATAATTTTATAAGTTCCTTTATAAAGGATAGTAACTAACGCTTCTTTATAACCAAAAAACTGGTTCAAGTCCAGATAATTCGATTATTCTTTTTATCTGGGTAAAATATTTATTTACTGTAATGCAAGTCACGGAATTTTATTTGTCCTTTGGTCGTAATTTATTTTGACTAGCTTATTAAGTTAAAAAATATTTATGTTCCTAAAACAAAATATTAAATCTACCTTTTTGACAAAATTAATCTGTGATATTTATTTTTATTTTACTAAACACGTGGTCTATTACTAATTGAACTAAAAAAGACAAAGAAAATAATTTTTACACGTATACTGTAAGCATAACGCGTAATATTCTTTTTATTTTTACTGTACTGAAATTAAACATGTACGTTATTATTTTATTTTCAGAATAAAAGGCATGACATATTTCTGTATATTTGCTGAACATCATATGCGAAGCTATATGTTGTACGGCGCTTTCTGAATTCTATACATTGCAAATTATCTCATTTTTATTTTTACTGTATTAAATTTAAACAGGCAATTCTTTTTTCAGAACAAAACGCACAAGCTATTTCTGCATGTTTGCCTAAAATCAAAGGCCATGTTACATGCAGCACACACGTTTCTAAATTAGGTTCTTAGATCCTTAAATATATTTAATCTGATGTATTTTCTTTTATGTAACGTTATAAGGTATTTCTCCCGCCTTCTTAACATGCCTTCATGATGTAGTGGTCAGCAGAATCGGCGCGTATTCGAGAAGTACGTGGTTCGAGTCCCGGCGAGGAAATTGCACATTTTTCATCACTCATTGCTTTCAAAAAATATTTATTGTCTCTACAGTGGCACCCGAACTGAAAAAGGTGGTGGATGATGATTCTCCACCACCAGGATTTGGCGATAGGCTCCCCTAATCCCCAGTCGCCCTTTAAAAGGGGGAGTATAAGGTATTTCTCCCGTCTTCGTGGTGTAGTGGTCAGCACACTCGACGCGTATTCGAGAAGTGCGTGGTTCGAGTTCCGGAGAGGGCATTGCACATTTTTCCTCGCTCCTGCTTCGAAATAACCTAATGTCTCTACAACGTAATAAACGGAAAACTTCAGTTCCGTAACTAAATTGACAACAATCTTTTTCAGTTACGTAACTAAATTGACAACAATCTTTTTACTTCGTCTAGAAAAAGAAATAAGACAGCCGGCTTAACGAAGTTCCGAATATTTAGCATTCGAATAACTACAACTCTGCTGTAAGCAAAATTTTGGATTACACGCTTAAATAAAAGATGGATTCTTTTCGTTTCTGTAAAGCATTTAAAAATGGAGACCATAATTCTAAACTGTATTCTTTGTTCAACTGTAACTTCTTGCATCCTAATTGAAGAGCTGTCGTATTACGAAGAACCACAGATTTAAAACTATTGATATGGATAAAAATTTAATATTTAAATGAAGAGAGTAAGCCTGTACAGTTATTATGATTTCTGGAAGCAGGAGACGTAAAAAATGAGCAATGCCCTCATCGGGACTCTAACCTGGATCTCTCGAATACGCGTCCAGTGTGCTAAGCGTTACACCACGAAGGCATACACAAAGCAGGAAGAAAATACTCCACTTGCTTCGACGATACATGTACTAAAACTGAAATCTTATATACTCTCCCTTTTAAAGGGCGAGTGGGGATTATAGGACTCAGCCGCCAAATTGTAATGGGGGAGAATCCTCATCCACCACTTTTTTAGTTCAGTCGCCACTTCAGAGACATCAGGTTATTTTGGAAGTAGAAAACGCGAAAAATGAGGAATGCCTTCGCCGGGACTCGAACCTGGACCTCTCGAATACGCGCCAAGTGTGCTACCGTTACACCACGAAGGTATGCAGAAAGGCGAGAGAAAATAGCCTATTTAATATATAACATAAGTCATCATTTATTTTTTTCCAAGTCAGTAAGTATATGCGTAAAATCGATTTTACTTATTGAATTAATAAAGTCATATCAATAGTAAATCTGTTCATGGCTAATGTTAACAACAACCAAATATTAATATTTTACTGTGTTAGAATTAATAACTTTAAAGTTATACATCATGCAAATCATGATGCATTCTGTTCTTTCGTTTCTGTTTCGATTAAATTTCCTTAAATTTTTTAACAGTTTAGTTTATTTTGGTGAATTATCTTTTTTTTTTTTTTTTTTTTTTTTTTTTTTTTTTTTTTTTTTTTTTTTTTTTATCGTTCTTCGACTTATTTTATCGACTAGTTTTTGCATAAATGTTACACAAATGCTTTTGCTTCAGTAACTGATACGGCCATACGCTACATTATTTGCTGCATATGAGTCCCGATTATTTTAATCCCAACACATTTTTTCAATGGGCAATAAACTTGGAATATATCAATTTCATCATAAATATACTTTCGTAGAGAAGAAGGAATTTTCACCATCCCCACCTACGTGTCGTCGTTGTGTAATTGGTATCAGGCCCGGCTAGCAAGCAGAAGATTCAGAGTTAGAATCCTGTCGAATTTACTGCTGATTTATCATATTTCCTGTTTCGAAAAGCCCTATAGAGTCTACAATTTAATCTTGGATTATGTGAATTACATCTGCTAAAACTGAAGTTTATTTCGAATATGTTAATTTCATCATAATTTAACAGTTTTAGGCCTGTGAAATGAACTGGGTAGTTTATTACTGCAAAGCAGTCAAGGTATATCTACTTGGAGTGGGGTGCGTTCGTGAAGAAATTTCGAAAGAAGAACTGGCTTGATGCTCTAGTTAAAAAGCACGAGAAATGAGATCAGTCATGCAGTCGACCCATTCTGTGTGCGAAAAATATAATCTGAGAACTAGCCATAAATATTCATGGTTGATAGCAGCTAATTAATAATTTTAGGATAAGAGTTATGAGCTATAACTAAATATTATTTAGTCATTAAAAATTGAAAAAAATCAGTTTAACGTCCAGCATTCATTGATTCAGATCTATCTGGCTTATTAATGGATTTTATTGTCTCAATCATCAGTGAAATCAAACAACATTGAAACGTATTAATTGTGTTTAATTCATAATGAAACTAATATGCATCAAAATGCATCTAATTTGGTAAAAAGTAGCATACTTCTGACAAATCTGGCGCACAGTTAAGTTGTGTGTTCATTATCATTAAGCTTTCATTTTTGCTAGTCATTTTCTTCCTCATTTCTGTATGCCTTTGTAGTGCAATGGTAGCACACTCGGCGCGTATTCGAGAAGTCCAGATTCGAGTCCTGGCAAGGACATTGCATATTTTTCATGATTTCTGCTTCTAAGAAACCTAATGGCTCTACAGTAGGATGCTACATTATGGTTCGTAAACGAACCATGCAAGTTCGGTGTAAACATTGCTTAGTCTTCTGAGTTTTTTTTTTTTTTTTTTTTTTTGTTTTGTTTGTTTGTTTAAATATACTTCTTTACAGATGCAAAGTTAAGTATATTATTACTCAAGTCTTATCTGTTTACGATGTTTTATATTTCACTTCTGTCTAAGAAATGTTTAAGACTCAGTTTCTACAAATAATAGGACTCTAATTACTTACCATTAGTTTAGCAGAAAAATAAAGGAACTTTTAGTAAGTTATTAAAATTTCCATAAATTTACTGGAATTTCAAAAAGTAATTTTCATCTAATTACGTAATTTAACATAAAAATTTCCCAATTTGTTATCATTCCTTCTATTAATGAATGTTACATTATTAATCGAATATATCCAAAACCAGGAAAACTCACATAAAATATATGAATAGTTATTTTCAAATAGAGCTCAAACAAAAACTTTAAAAAAAAAAGTAAAAAACTGAAAAACAGAAATTAAAAAGTTGAAAACCGAACTTAAAAAGTAGGTTTTTTTTTTTATCTTAGAGATAGAAGATTTTGATTTTATTGAGGGAAAGTAAATGCTTACAGAAACCGAGATGCTCACGAGCAGATCTGAAAGAAGAAAAAGATTATACGCATTTTACATAGTAGCAATTTTACAGTGCATGCTCTTTACTTTTCCTGCAGAGTTTGTGGCCATAAAAGTCTTTACAGGGCCTTTAATTTTTGCAGCCGTTATTCTTAGACATATGC